TGGACCTAGCTGGAACTGGCTCAGATCCCAAATGCTGTCACTTAGCTATTTAGACTTTAGATGTTTAATATCCCTCTAGGACTTCAGTTCCCTCAACTTAAAATTGAGACAGCAATACCACACCCATAGGTATAGCAGTAAACAATATATGTGAAGGATCCTCTAAAGTACTTTTTCACATAGTAAGTAAATGATACATACTGTTAATGTGAGGGATGAAGGAAATGGAGGAGTATCAAGAATGACTTCCAGGTGTTATTATTTGGACAGTAAGACCTCATTTAGGAGAGCTAGGTAAACTGTCTGATTCCTAAACACATTGCTTGTGAGATATCTGAGTGGAAATGTTCCCTGGCAATTGACAATAAGAGTTTGATACTCAGAGACACTTGGGCAGAAGATACAGATTTGGAAGATAATCAGCTTTTACACAGTAGTAAAAGCTGTGGAAGTGGATGACATTACCCAAGGAGAGAGTTAGAATGAAAAGTCAAAGACCTGGAGAGTAGCCTAGGCAGAGCAAAGTGAGAGAGGCTGAGAAAAGGGTATCAAGTGGGAGTGGTTAGAGAAATGCTGGAACACCAACAGTAAGTACTATGAATGAAGCACAAGAAGGAGAGAGTTTAAAGAGTGAAATTGGAAGCTTCCATGTGCTTCAGAGAGGTGAAGTAAGATCCAAAAGAAGAATATTTTTAATTTACCAACAAATAAAGCCCTGTCATGATTTAGCGGAGGAATGGATGAAATGGGCATTTAATTTCTGTAGTTTGAAGAGAGAATGGGAGATGAATTAAGGCAACCAATGTAGATAAAACACATAAGGATGCAACTTTAGTTTAGATTTAAAAACTGTTTAGAAAGTTAACAGCAAAGGAAGGTGTTTCTGATGATGCAGAGAGCTCAGTAAAGTTTCAAGAACAAAGTGGTCAGTGGTGTGAAATGCAGCAAAGCAATCCTATAATAATGCTTACTTAGAAAATAAATGCATGTTGGATTTGATTTGGCTATTAGGAGGAAGTCTGTGAGCCAGGAACTAAGTCCTTACGTTGGGATGTTTTGAATGCTAGGCTTTGGTCAAGGGAGACCAATTGAAAATGAATTAGCATGGAAGTGATATCAGAATATCATTTTATTTTTGCTGATAGCAGTTTAAAGGATAAGATAGGAGACAAAGGTCCCTTTAAGTTGGTAAAGGAAGATACATGGACCTAGACCAGGGTGGTGGTGCTGGCAACTGAAAGAAGTGAATGCAAGAGCTATGCGCCTAGGTGCAGTTATAACTTGGCAATTACTAAATATAATGGGTAAAGGAGAAGTAGCCTAAAGTTAGTTTTTGTATTTTTTAAGGTTCTGAGTATGGGTAACAAGGAGATTGGTAGTAGCATATTTACTAAAAGGGAGAAATTAATAGAAACAAGAGTTGAAATAATTTTTAAAATTGTATTTATGATGCTTTTGTTATTGAGTGACTACTGTGTTGGATGCTGGTTCAAATGCTGGGCATGGCGCAGTAAGTCTAACAGGTAATTATGCTTTATGCTAAAAGCAGTTGAAACTCAAAAGTGAGGCCAAAAAAAAAAGAAATAAATAAGGGTCAAGACAGTGACTTAGTGACAATACAGAGATAGGTTAAAGGAAACCATTTTAGATGATGTGGTCAGGAGTGGTATTTCTAAAGAGGAAAGATTTTTATTGGGACCAGAGTATTACCATAGCTCTCTATGCAAAGATCAATACAGAGACATCCTAGATGTCTCTAATAAATTGATCTGATCTCAGAAGGTGTTGGGAGAGGTATTCAGCACCACTGTCCCTGCTGGCCATTAGGGTGTTCTTATGGCAATGGCCCTTAAGAAGGGAATGAACCTGATTTAAGATCCAGGATAAAAGGCTCTGTCAGGAGCAGAGTGAGCAAGGGAGAGACTAATACAAGATGAGGTCTGAGAGGCCATGGAATTAAGCTAAAATGAGGCCTTTGTGTAAAGAGTTTGATGGCTGCACTTCATTGGTAGCAGTGGAAATGAAAGGAAAGTGGTATTGAGTTATGTTGAACTTGAACTGTCTCGAAATTCTAGGTGAGGAAGTCAAGAGAAGTGTCATACTTAAATATATAAATTCAAGTATGTCTGCTTAGTATTCATTGAATAACTTGCCAAGTTGTTAGGTACTGAAGACATAATGCCCACAATTTGGAGACTTGAGGAATTTATCAAGGAAATGGTCAAGGGATCTGGAGGAAAATAATTAGCCACTGAGTCATTAGAGATCCCTAGTGGTTCTTTGGCATAATGAAGAGCACCTTAAATACCACTGCAACCTGACAGGAATGACCAACTGTTGTATAAACAGTAGCTGGAAAAATTATGGCTGGAAATATCTCATGACTTTAGGAGATACAATGAGTATTTGCCAACTTATAGTCAGACAAAGACAAACCTTGAAAGCTAACCACAGATATGAGACATCCAGAAAGGGAGGGAGAGGGGGGAAGTTCGGGAGTAGTGAAAATCGGGGTGGGGGTGGGGGGGTGTGGGGATCGGGGAGGAACGAAGAAGAGAAAAAGAGTACTTGTTAACTTAAAATACCTGCATCTCTACAGGGACTTGTATGAAGACTATATAGTGCTGGTTCAGATAAAACTCCCATTTCCAGAAGTGTGTTTTTTGTAGTAAACAGGGGAAGTATATGTATATCATTGTGTTTCTAGATACTAATAATTTGAATAGTTGCTTAATCAGGGTCATCATTAAGAAATCATTTTACTGACTGTAAAATTTGTATGTGCTCAAAAGATACATAGTATTTATGGAGGCATAATACACTTTACATTTAGGTAATGTTTTACAATTTACAAAGGCTTTACCCTTAGGAAATAAACTTGATCTTTTAAAACAACTCTTTAAGGTAGAGGTCAGGGCTTTAGTAGGTCAGTATTATTAGGTGCAGAAACTGAGTATCTCCAAGTGCATTCAACAGATGGGACATGAATTCACAACTTCAGACTTTACTTGCATTGTTTACCTATCACGTCATGTTAATTCACAGGTGAACAAAATTGTAAAGTTTAGTAATAGAATTAAAGTATGTAGCCTTAGTAAAACAGTGGTAAAGCACTTTTTTTTATTTGTATTATGGTTGTGTGTGCTACCATAGGTTTCAGAATGTTTTAAATATGCAGAAGGGGCCTCCCCAGTGGCGCAGCGGTTGAGCGCTGGGTTGCAAAGCTGCCCGCAGCCTCTGCGGCGCCGGTTCGATTCCCGGCTGCTCCCCGGCCACTGGAGGAGGGTCCCACATGGCGCGCAGACCTCTCCTGCCGCCCGCTGCTCCCCTCAGCAGTGTACTTCGGTCCTTCTGCCTGCTCTGCTCCCTGCTCTGGCTCTGGTGAATTCTCTCACCCTCCCGTGCTTCTGACTGTACCCAGTGCATGTAAAAACAAATAAATAAATAAAAAAAATGCCTCTATATTTTAAAAAATAAATAAATAAATATGCAGAAGAGATTTTTCTCACTTGCTTGTTTTTTTTTTTTTTTTAATTTTCTAGAGGCATGTCTTATTTATTTATTTATTATTTGTTTGTTTGTTTGGTTTATACATGCACTGGGTACAGTCAGAAGCGCGGGAGGGTGAGAGAATTCACCAGAGCCAGAGCAGGGAGCAGAGCAGGCAGAAGGACCGAAGTACACTGCTGAGGGGAGCAGTGGGCGGCAGGAGAGGTCTACGCGCCATGTGGGACCCTCCTCCGGTGGCCGGGGAGCAGCCGGGGATCGAACCGGCGCCGCAGAGGCCGCGGGTAGCTTCGCAACCCAGCGCTCAACCGCTGCGCCACCGGGGAGGCCCTCACTTGCTTGTTTTTATTGTCTCTTCCTGGCTACTCCATATGTTTAAATACTATATATGCAGCTTTAAAATAAGTTCATTTATTTTCTGTCCTGTAGTCAAAATGTTTTGTGTCTGCTACCATAGGTGATTCTTGCATTGCCACCCAACTCTGTGGAGACTGGTAGTAATAATAGCTGGCATGTAATGAACAATTCTGTGCCAGGGACTGTGGTGAAGCATTTGTAAAAATTAACATTAGTCCTTATATTAGCTCTCTTAGGTGGGCACATTCCTTCATAAATTGGTGTTTTCTTTCTTGTCCTTTCACTTATTTGTTATTCCTATACCGGGTGGGGAAAAGTAGAGCTATGTTTAAAGAAAGGATAATCAAAAGGCATACCCACACATATGTCAGGATCAATTTAAGACTTGTGAGTAGATTTTTTTGTTCATACTATGTTCTATAATAATTTTCCCCTAAGCAAAGAAGTAAAACTAGTATACATACCGACTGAAGAGGTAAAGTCTTAACTAATCCGAGTGAATAAAGTAATAATATTCTAAATGTCTGTTTCATGAGTATTGTGACAGTATGGATGGTTTTGAATTTAAAAATTTTTAAGCTAAGTCAGTGTTGTAACTTAAAAAAAAACTCATCAGTAAAGAAATTTTTGCTTAAATGTATTTAAGAATTAGAAATATCCATGAAATCTAATCCTTTGTTACTTTTAATTCCTGCATTTTCTTGGAGTGAATGAGATATATTACTTAATGTGGAAATTGTAATAATTGCACTTAGTATTTATATATAATCTTTCATATGAGGATTTCAGAGCTGCTTTTTCAAATGTTTCCTGAATCCTCACAGCACTTTAGTAAAGTAGGTAGATAGCTAATGCAATTATCTTATACAAGTGGAGAAATCAAGCCATGGAGGGTTACATGATGCATGACTAGTCCCACCTACCAGATATAGATGCAGCCTGAACTACTAAAATAAGAATATTATGTTTTAGGAGAGTTGGCTTAATAAAGGTTATTGGCCCCTTTGCTTTTTGCACTTTTCACATATAATCTATTGGAACAAATGTGGTAACTTTAAAATGTCCACATGGCATTTGCTTCTTTATTGTTTCTCTAGAAATAGACATTATAATACTCTTTTATTTCTCCCTTTTAGGTCAGCAGCAAGGACAAGATGGAGTAAAAGTCCAACAGGCTACAATAGCTCCTGTAACTGTAGCAGTTGGAGGAATTGCTAATGCAACGATAGGTGCTGTTAGTCCTGACCAACTCACACAAGTGCATTTGCAGCAAGGCCAGCAAGCTTCTGACCAAGAGGTACAGCCTGGCAAGAGACTTCGAAGAGTTGCCTGCTCCTGTCCTAATTGTAGGGAAGGAGAAGGAAGGTAAATGTTATGTTACCAATTCATTCTCTCTCTCTGGAAGACATGCAATAGTTAAAAACAATCTATTGACTCTGTATTTTGATCACTAAAATATTACTGGCTTTGCAGCCCAGAAGTTGAAGTAAAATATTGTTATAAAGGGGATTAAGTTAAACTATGCTAGGGATGGGGATCAGTAGTCTTCCACTTTGTACCTTATATGTTTTTTATGGTTTTCTTTTTTCATTTATTGTGTAATATTATATAAAACAACATTTATTTAAAGCATACAGTTCACTGGTTTTTAATAAATTCAGACTTCTGTGACCATCACCAGAATCAATTTTGGAACATTTTTTTTGGCACCCTACCAAAAGAAACCCTGTACTCTTTAGCCATCATTCCCTGACCTCAACCCCCACCCCCTAGCTCGTATTTCTTTCTTTATAGATTTTGCCTATTCTGGACTCTGTACATATGGAATCATACGATATGTGGTTATTTGCAAACTCACTTCATTTACTTAGCATAATGTTTTTAAGTTTATGTTATAACATGTATCAGTATTTCATTTTCAGTGAACAAATAATTCCATTTTATGGCTATACAGTGTTTTGTTTAGCCATATATCAGTTGATGGACATTTGGATTCTTTTCATTGTTGGCTGTTAGGGTACCTTCAACATTCATTTATGAGTTTTCACTTGGCCGTATGTTTTCATTTCTCTTAGGTATTTACATAGGACTAGAATTGCTGGTTCACAGTAGATTGAGCCATTTGAGGGACTGTCTGTTTTCCAAAGTGGCTTAATCATTGTGCATTCCTATTAGTGTCTGAGAGTTCTGATATTGCCAACATGCATTATAATCTTTTTAATTATAACTGATCTAGTGGCTGTGAAAAGGTATTTCAATGTGATTTTGATTTATATTTCTTTGATGACTAATGATGTTGAGCACATTTTCATGTGCTTATTAGTCATTTGTACAACTTTGGAGAAATGCCTGGTCAGATCTTTTGCCATTTTAAAAGTAGATTAGCTGTCTTTATTATTGAATTATAATAGTTCTCTATATATTATAGATATAATGAATGTAGATATGATTTGCAAATATTTCCTACATTCTGTAATATATTCTTTCCACTTTCTTCATATTGTCCTTTGAAGCACAAAAGTTTTTATGTTTTATAAAATCCAGTCTTTTCTTGGGTCTAAGAATTCATTCATTCAAGGATCCTTGTTTTCTTTTGAGAGTTTTTATAGTTTTTGCTTTTACTTTTAAGTTTTTATCAATAAGGGGTTAATTTTTGTATGGGGTGTGAGGTAAGGATCTATTTGGGACCCTTTGTTGAGAAGATACCCATTTCTCAGTCACTGAATGGTGTTGGTACTCTTGTCAAAAACCAGTTGACTAAAGGCTTGTCTATCTCTGGCATTATCTTTGGCCTCATTACTTTGGCTTTGTATTAACTTTTGAAATTGTAAATGTGAGTTTTCCATCTTGATTGTTCTTTCTCAATATTATTTTGACTATTCAGAAATATTTACAGTTCAGCTTGTCAATTTCTACAAAGGCTGCAAATGGGATTCTTGTGGGGATGCATTCAATCGATATATCAATTTAGGGAATTTCACCTATTTAACAATATTAAGTTTTCTGATCCAAGAACAGTTAGTTTTTGTGTATTGGTCTTGTATCTTGCAATCTTGCAACTGTGCTGAACTCTTGTATTTTAGTAGGTTTTTTTTAGTGGATTCCTTAGGATTTTCTGTATGTAAGAGGCTGTCATCTGCAAGTCGAAATGCGTTTTCTTTTTCCTTCCCACTGTGGATGACTTATTTCTCTTTATTGCCTAGTTGCTTAGTTCAAAACTTACAGTACAGGGGAAAAAATAATACTGACTAAAAGTAGTAAAAATGTTTACATCTTAGGTAAAAGATCCAGCCTCTTATCACTATGTATGTATTAGTTGTGGGTTTCTCATATATGCATGCTCTTGATTAAGTTGAGGAAGCTCCTTTCTATTCGTATTTTGTTGAGTGTTTTTTCATGAAAGGATGTTGGATTATATCCAGTGTTTTTGTGCATCTGTTGAGATAATCATGTAGTTTTTATTTTTCATTCTGTCAATATGCTGTATTACATTGTCAGATGTTAGCATGCCTTTGTGTTTGTGATATAAATTCAGCTTGTTAATGGTATGTCATTGTTTTTATATGTTGCTGGATTCAGTTTGCTAGTATTTTTGTTGTTCATGAGATACATTGTTCTGTATTTGTCTTTTCTTATAACCTCCTTGTCTGCTTTTGGTACAGGTAATACTAGACTCATAAAATGAGTTAGGAAGTGTTCGTTCCAGCGTTATTTTTTAAAAGCATCTGTGAAGATGGTGCTGGTAGTGATGTCCCCTCTTTCATTTCTGAGTCCAGTATGTTGAGTCTTGTCTTTTTTTTTTTTTTTTTTCCCCTTGATCAGTCTGTTCAAAGACTTGTTAATTTTGTTGAACTTTTCAAAGAATCAGCTTTTGGTTTCATTGATTTACTACTGTACTAATTTCTGCTGTAGTCTTTACTATTTCCTACATTCTGCTTTCCATTCCTTCTGCTTTATTTTAGACTTAGTTTTCTCTTTTTCCATTATCTTAAGGTGGAAGATTTAAATTATTGATTGAGATCTTTTTTAATGGAGTAACTATAGCTGTAAATTTCCTCCTAAGCATTGCTTTACATGGGTTTCCTAACTTTCGCTATTATGTCTTCATTTTCATTCATCTCAAAGTATTTTCCAATATCCCTTTTACTTCTTTCTTTGATTAGTCGTTACCTAGGATATATACTTTAACTTCTAGATCATTGTAAATTATTCTGTTTCCTCCTGTGATTTTTATGACTTCATTCTATTGTAGTTAAGAAACATACTTTGTGTTATTTCTGTCTTTTTAAAATTTATTGTTTATTTCATGGCCTATCATAAGAATATTCTCTACACTATTGGGAAGAGTAACTGATGCTTGAGTGTTCTGTGGATGTCTGTAAGATCTAGTTCATTTGTGGTGTTTTTCAATTTTCTTCTCCTTATTGATTTTCTGCCTAGTTGAAACATCATTGAAAATAAAGTGTTGAAATCTCTACAATTGTTAATGTCTGTTTTCCCTCTGTCGGTTTTTATTTCATCTTGGTGAACTCTTGTTACTCTTTTATTTAAGTCTGTGTATATATGTGTGTATAATTGGTATGCCTTCCTGACGGATTGACCCATTTTTCATTATAAAATCTCCCTCTTTAATAACAGGGTTTTTTTTTTTGTTTGTTTGTTTGCTTTAAAGTTTATTTTATCTCGAGTGTTAATATAATTACTTCAGTACTCTGTTGCTTACATGGTATCTTTTTTACTTTCAGTCTCTTTGTATCTTTGAGTGTAAAGTTTGTTACCCTTAGGCAGCATATAATTGGATCTTGATTTTTTTTTTTTTAAAGATTTATTTATTTATTTATACAAGCACTGGGTATAGTCAGGAGCACGGGAGGGTGAGAGAATTCACCAGAGCCAGAGCAGGGAACAGAACAGGCAGATTGACGAAATACACTGCTGAGGGGAGCAGTGGGCACAGCAGGAGAGGTCTGTTGTGCCATGTGAGACCCTCCCCAGCAGCTGAGTATCAAACCGGCACTGCAGAGGCTGCAGGCAGCTTCGCAGTCCAGCACTCAGCTGCTGCACCACCAGGGGAGGCCAGGATCTTGATTTTTTTTCATCTTTAAATTGAGCCTGACAAAAATCTGCCTTTTGATTGGATAATATAATCCATTAATACTCGGTGTTATTAATGTAGTTGGATTGTCTGCCATGTTACTTTTGTTTTCTGTGTCTCATGTCTCTTTTGTTCCTCTCTTCCTTCTCTACTGCTTTCTCTTTTTGCATTAAGTGAATGTAATAAAACATTTTAAAACTGTAATGTAGCAGTTTAATTGTATTAATAATTTATTCACTATCATTTTAAGTTATTTAGTTGTTGTTCTGTATATTACTATATAGATCTTATAATCAGATTCAAATTTTATTAATTTTAGTGAATTATAGAAACATTCCTCCTATATAATTCCTTTTGCCTCTTTATTATTGTTATACACATTTTATCTATAAATGTTACAAGTCCAAGAATAAGTTTTCATAATTATCATTTTATGTAATTATGTGCCTTTTAGAGAAGCAAAGAAGTGGAGTGAGTCCAGTAAGTCCTCACTTAACCTCATCAATAGGTTCTTGGAAACTGTGACTTTAAGTAAAACTGTATAAGAGCAAATCTTTGAATAGGATAATATTTATTTTATTTCATTCAACATGGACCAAGATTGTTTTTTCTCATAAAGGTTACCACAAAACAATGTTGAATAAGTCAACATTGATGCTATTCAAAGACCTCCTATATATATTTATAGCTTTTGTTAACTCTGTCATTTCTAGTTAATTTATTCCTGTGGATTTGTGTTATCATCTGGGGTCATTTCCTTAGCCCAGTACACAGCTTTGCTCTCACCCACCTCCTTTTTGTGATTATTGGCAAATACATCGCATATATCATATTTCTGTATGTCGTAGGCTTGACAATACATTTTATACATATTGTTTTATAAAGTTGCTTTTTAAATCAGTTAAGAGAAGAACTACTATCTTTCATAATTACCTTTGCCAGGTAATCATTTGTTTTTTCTTTACATTTTAATTACTCTCTAAGTTCATTTACTTTCAGCCTAAGGAACTTCCTTTGGTTTTTCTTTTTTTAAAAAAGAAGATTTTTTTATTTATGCATAAAGAGCTTGGGTACAGGCCACAGATGCGGAGTGGGGGTGAGAGGATTCACCAGAGACAGAGCGGGGAACAGAATGGGTAGAAGGACCGAAATACACTGCTGAGGGGAGCAGCGGGCGAGACAGGAGAGGTCTGCCTCGCCATGTGGGTTGCTCCCTGTCAGGCTGGGGATTGAACTCTTGCTGCAGAGGCTGCAGACTGCTTCATGGTGTGGTGCTTATCCCCTTGCGCCACCAGGGAGGCCCATAAAAGATCTATTTTATTTATTTATGCATACAAGAACTGGGGTGTAGGCCAGAGGTGTGGGAGTGAGAGGATTCACCAGAGACAGAGTGGGAAGCAGAACAGGCATATCTACTGAAATACACTGCTGAGGGGAGCATTGTGGGCATGACAGGAGAGGTCTCCTGCGCCATGTGGGTTAGCTCCCTGGTTAGGGATCTAACTTGTGCTGCAGTGGCTGCCTATAGCTTGTTAATGCTGAGACTTAACCCCTTGTACCACCAAGAAGGCCCTTCCTTTGATATTTCTTCACAAACAGGTTCACTAGCAACAAATTCTGTGTTTTTTGTTTATCTGGGTATAACTTTATTTCACTTTTATTTTAAAAAGTCTGCTGGATATAGGCTTCTTATTTCATAGTTTACTTTGAGCATTTTGTATTTTCTCACTGCACTCTGACCACCATTGTTTCTATTGAGAAGTTAACTGTTCAACTTTTTGGGGTTCCATGTAATTCATGAACTGTTTTTCACTGGCTGCTTTCAAAATTGTGTTCTTGTCTTAATTTTTGAGGACTTTTTGTATAAAGTGTTTATTTGTGGATTCCTGCATTTATCTTATTTGGGATTTGTTGAGCTTCCTGCATGAGTTAGATAAGTGACTTTCAATAAATCTGGGAAGTTTTCAGCCATCATTTCTTTGTCTTTCTTTCTGCTTCATTCTCTTTCTCTCCCCCTCCTTTTAGCATTCCTGTTGACAATTTATGTGCTGGATTTCACATTTCTCTGACATTATTCATTTTTCTTTTTCATGCCCTTTGTCCTGGTGTTTGGATAAGCTCTATTGATCTATATTTAGACACAGTATTTCTTCTCTCAAATTTCTCTAGTGAATTTTTCATTCATCTATACTTTTCATCTCCAGAATTTCTAATTGGTTCTTTTTTTCCTTTTTAATCATTTCAGTATCTTCATTGATACTGCCTATTTGATGTGTCATTGTTATCCTTTCTTTAATCATTGTATCCTTTTTTTTTTTTTTTTAATATTTATTTATTTATTTATACAAGCACTGGGCCCAATCAGAAGCGCGGGAGGGTGAGAGAATTCACCAGAGCCAGAGTGGAGAGCAGAGCAGGCAGACAGATGAAGTACACTGCTGAGGGGAGCAGCAGGCAGCAGGAGAGGTCTGTGCACCATGTGGGGCCCTCACCCGGAGGCCGGGGAGGCCGGGGATTGAACAGGCGCTGCAGAGGCTGCAGGCAGCTTTGCAACCCAGCGCTCAACCAATTGCCACCGGGGAGGCCCTCCTTTACTTCTTTGAACATATTTATAACAGTTACTTTGAAGTTTTGTTAAATCTGGTTTCTTTCCCAGTTTCTCTTGTCTTCTTTTCCCCTCAATTATGGGTCATAGTTGACTATTTTGCTGTTTGTTTTGGGATTTTGTCTGTCTTTTAATTTTTTGTTGGAAACTGATCAGTTATGTATTGTAGTAACTTGAAGAACACTCCTATACCTCCTGCCCCCAGTCTGGCCTGTTGTTTGTTTAATGATCCTCTGGGTCATTTTAGTGATATCTGCACGCAGTTTTGCAGAGTTAGTGCAGGGTCCTTGGGTTCACTCTGGGAAAGGTTTCGCTAGAGCTCCCGTTTCGGTGGCATGCGGTGAGTTTCTCCACGAGACAGAGATGGTAGTTAGATTTAAAGAGCAGGTCTATTAGGAAAGGTAAAAAAAGGTTTTGCTAAGAGAGCCCTGCATTGTTGCAGGCAGGTGACCTTGACAGGTCAGGGGCAGGCAGGAAGCTGCTGCCCTACAGAGGGAGAGAGTTGGTAGAAAGAGGCACCTGCATAGTCATAGGTGGGCAGTGGGATTGCTGCCCCCAGCCTGTGCAAAGACTACACTGATACAGTCCTTTTCTCTTCTCCGTGGAGTGGCCTGCTTGTTGCTGATGTTGGGTAACAGGCGAAACTAGAAAGGGACCAGACATTCCAGGGCCCAATCTCCATATCTTTACCCTCAGGTCTGTGCTCCACTCCCTATAGCATCTGATCCTGCTTGGGTCTCATGCCTGGTGCCTAAGGTTCACGACCTCTACAGCTGGGTTAATGTTCATATTACTCCCCTCAACCTCCACCTCCTTGTGAGTCAGGTTCTGGTCTTGGGACACCTCCTTTCCAGTTTTGTATTCTTGTCCTCCATTATTATGAAGCATGTACAAATTGGGGTATGGTGCTGGCAGTGTCCCTTGTATGACAATGTCATGGCAAGCATCTTTCTTACTGTCTCTTCCTGACTGCATCCAGCAAATTCTAGCTTATTGTTGTTTTCATCAGTGCTCTAATGAATATATTACTGCACAGACTGATCCAATCAAATTCCTTTTAAATAATTCCTTTTCAAGAAGATCTGTGTTTGAGATTTATTCTGACCTTGAAGAACACCTCCGCCTGCCCCTTTCTTTGGTTCTCTCTGGCAGCCTAACTAGCCTACAGTTCACCCTGTTTCTTCAGTTAATCTATTAGTTATTCCCCAAATGCCTTTTACAACAACTGCTATTTTTTTTTTTTTAATTAATTATTTATTTATTTATACAAGTACTGGGTATAGTCAGAAGCGCGGAAGGGTGAGAGAATTCACCAGAGCCAGAGCGGGGAGCAGAGCAGGCAGAAGGACCAAAGTACACTGCTGAGGGGAGCAGCGGGCGGCAGGAGAGGTCTGTGCTCCATGTGGGACCCTCCTCCTCCGGTGGCTGGGGAGCAGCCAGGGATCTAACCGGCGCTGCAGAGGCTGCGGGCAGCTTCGCAGCCCAGCCAGCGCTCAACCGCTGCGCCACCAGGGGAGGCCCAACAACTGCTGTTTTTGAGAGTACCCTTAGACCAAAACTTATCCATCTTTCTTGAAAATGAAGTTAGCTCCTTTGAGAAGAGATCTGGATCTTTCAGTTTTGTGGTATGCTCTCCTTCTAGCCAAAATATCTGTGTTGTAACGGGTGAACTAAGGGCTTGTTTCTCTCTCAGTGCATCCCTGCCTTAGATGCTGAGCATTGTCTAGCAGGGGGCAGTGATAGCCTTAGGCCTTCTCAGCGTGTGTCTCCTGCCTTGGAACCTCTAATTTATAAGCTATAAATGAACTGGGTCAAAGGCATCCTGGATTCCAGTATCTTTGTTGAGCCATATCCAAAGTAGAGCCTTTGCTTTTGCAGTTGAAGTAGAAGAAGGGAGTCCCTACCTGTCACTCTATTGGAACTTAGCCTTAGCAACAGAAGCTGGAGGTAGAATGAGAAATGCTGACATCCTGCCCCCTAGGGAGATAAGCCTCTAACAGGAAGGTGGGAGGAGCAGGAACCCTGTTCTTTGCTTCACCATTCTAAAGTATTTCTTGGGAAGGAGGAGGGAGAGAGGAAATGAGTCTTGATTCAAATGCCACAGACTCTTACTGTTCTTACCCAATTCTATTGATTTTCTTGAGTAAATGTTTCTTTGCTTGTGGTATGCTTATAGGGTAATTTCCAGAGAATATAAATGCTGTTTGTTAAAATTTTTACCAGTTTTTGCTCAGGAGCACATCCAAGGAACACCTACTGTCCTGCTGAAAATGAACCTCAGACTTTTAAATGGGGATTACCATCCTTTTGCTATTTTACAGAATAATGTTTAAGTGTCTTGAAAGGTTTGAACAGATTTATTCTCAAGTGAAGAGCATACTAGGGGTGGAACATGAAATCTGTGGTAGAACATAACCACTCTGATACTAACATGTTTTCATAACAGTTTTGAATTTTGTACAGTCTTTCATTTTGATTATTTGATTTGTAACTGCAGTAGTGGCATCGTGATTAAAAGCATTGAGAAAGGCATCATTCATCTTGACTCCCGTTTATTTTTCCATAATTTAAGCGTGGTATTTGATATTGTAATAATGTTTGTTTTTTTTTTTTTCGTTAGAGGCAGTAATGAACCAGGAAAAAAGAAACAGCATATCTGTCATATTGAAGGATGTGGAAAAGTTTATGGCAAAACATCTCACCTTCGAGCACATCTTCGCTGGCATACTGGAGAAAGACCTTTTGTATGCAACTGGATGTTTTGTGGCAAAAGATTCACAAGGAGTGATGAACTACAGAGACATAGAAGAACTCATACAGGTTAGTTGATTTATTTTAGGACTTGTTCTTTTTATTTTTTAGTGTTTAGATAAAAATTTGAGTAATAGTTTAGCTATCAGATTGGAAATACAACACTTAGAATTCACATGAGTGATTATAACTGAAAGGTGTTCCAGTTCAGATTCTTAACCTATATCCTTTACCTGTCACTTTTTTTTTTTTTTTGGTTAGTATTTAAGCAAATGAAAAAAAGTTCAATTATGTTATTGATGATCTTTATTTTTAAATTTTATAATCCCCCAAATTGACTAAAGTATCAAGAATTATATAACAAATCCCTGTCTGTCACTCAGAGGTGCGGGCGTGGGGGGTGGAGGGGTAAGAGGATTCACCAGAGACAGTGGAAAGCAGAAGAGGCAGACTGAAATCCACTGCTGAGGGGAGCAGTAGGTGAGGCAAGAGGTCTGCTGCGCCATGTAGGTCAGCTCCCTGGCAGGGGTTGAACTCGTGCTGCAGTGGCTGGCAATAGTGTCACAGTGCTGAGACTTAGCCCTTTGCACCATCAGGGAGGCCTCCTATATTTTGTTATTTTTTAATAACAAATTATCTTCTTCTCAAAATCAACTACCATGAATTTAGAATATAACTTTTTAGTACAGTCTTAATATTCTTATATGTACTATTCATGCATATGTATATGCATATATATAATAGTATATATACTATATATAGTATATATGTATAATAGTATAATAAGAAATTTTGCATAAATGGTATCATATATAGAATCATAATTTCATTTATGTTTTGAATTTAAGTTAATGTATATTTTTATGCATGTGTGTATTTTTTAACTACTCTATATAGTATTTTATCACATGACTCCATCACAGTAATTTTTCCTCTCTTCTTAAATTGAAATAACAATTTATAACAGCCTTGATTTCAGGTGTACAGTTTCTCATATTTGTACTACACTAGTATTAATATATTTCCTATACTGTTTAGATTATGACTAAGTTCTTTACTATCATTGTGTTTACTTCTGTGAGCATACAGTAAACATGTATAAGAAATAGAATTATTGGGTCAAAGAGAAATGCTTATGTTTGATTTTGCTAAATTAACAGCTAATGGATCTCTGCAGTGACGTTACCATCTCTGATTCACTAGTGTGATTGAGAGTTTCTTCTTTGCAGTGTGTTCACCAATATTCAGTAATATCAGGCTTTGAAAATTTTTGTAATCCTGAAATGGTTTTTCAGTTTTTCAGTTGGTGTTTTTCTGGTTATCAGTGAGATTAAGCATCTTTTCATATGTTTATTGGTCATGTCTGTTTCTTGTACGCTTGATTAGTTCCTTTGTTCATCTTTCTTGATTGTTTTCCTTTTTCTTACTAATTTAAATATTGCAATTCCTTCACATACAGATCTTCCTCATCTCAATGTGGGATTGCATACTGATAAAACCATCATGAATTAAAATATTATAAATCAAAAATGAAGTTAATACACCTAACCTACCGAACATCATAGATTAGCCTCTTCTGTCTTTAACATGCTCAGAACACTTAGCCTACAGTTGGACAAAATCATCTAACCAACACAGTTATTTTATGATAAAATATTAAATGTCTCATGTATTTTATTGAATACTGTACCGAAAATGGAAAAACAGAATGGTTTTACGGGTTCTCACCATTGGTGTACACAGCTAAAAGCATACCTGACTTGAAGAATGAAGCATTAACCTAAAATTACTTATTAATTAATTAAATCAATTATTGAATGATGGAGATGCTATAGCAGCCAGGTCATCACTTTCTCTCCTGAGGCTTGAAAGGAACTGGTAGAAAGACATTATAGAGTACTGGTTATTACCTTTGTGATGGTGTGGCTGAGAGCTGTGGCTCACTGCTGCTGCCTAGCAGCACAAGACTGCATACCATTTGCCTGGGGAAAGGTCACTATTCAAAAATTGCAATACAGTTTCTACTGAACACATATTTTTGCACCATTTTTTTTTTTTTTTTTTTTTAATAGAGGCATGCTTTTTTATTTATTTATTTGTTTGTTTGTTTGTTCTGTCTATACATGCACTGGGTACAGTCAGAAGCGCAGGAGGGTGAAAGAATTCACCAGAGCCAGAGTGGGGAGCAGAGCAGGCAGAAGGACCAAAGTACACTGCTGAGGGGAGCAGTGGGCGGCAGGAGAGCTCTGCGCGCCATGTGGGACCCTCCTCCGGTGGCTGGGGAGCAGCCGGGGATCGAACCAGCGCCACAGAGGCCGCGGGCAGCTTCGCAACCCAGCGCTCTACCGCTGCGCCACCTGGGAGGCCCTTTTTGCACCATTTTAAAGTCAAAAAACCTTTAAGTTTTTTTGGACCATCTGTATTGCTAGTCTTTTATCTTTGTGCTATCTTTTGTCATATGGAAGTTTTCATTTTTATTTAGCCAAATACAAGTCTTTTGTCTTTTTTTTTTTTAAATGAAGTTCTCTCCTACAGAAGATCATAAATTTTTAGGAAACATTCTTCTAATGACATAAAAAAAATATATTTAAGTTTGTCTTTTATCAGTCTAGGATTTTTTTTTTTTTGATGATAAATGAAATGGGGTTGTAATTTTATTTTTCTTCCATGTGGAAAGCCATTTTTTGAATAGCCCATTCTTTTTCCATTGATTGGTAGTAAAACTTCTCATATATTACTGTATCCTTTAAAGTAGCTCAATTTCTCGTCCCTCTATTTTTAAGCTTTTATCTCTTTGTCAGTTCCTATACCAATACTACACTGTTTTAATAATCCCAAGGTTATAGTAAATCTGATATCTGGTAGGGCAATTTTCATTTTTGCTCATGTCACTGGCCCTCTCTGTTTAGAACATGTCTCTGATACATATTTGATACTCAATATTTAATTGATGGATAAATTAATAAATTTAGGTAAATGTTTGAATTTGACTTTAACTCTTGTACCAATGTACATGTCCCACTTGTTCAATGTGTACATTTCAAAAGAGGGAATAGCTGACATTTATTGGTCAGCTGCTACATATCACATATTTCTAATATATTATTTGCTTCTAACATCAACACTGTGAGATAGAAATTAACTTCATTTAACAACAGATAAGGAAATAGTTTCAAGAGAAAATACTTGTTAAACTGATTAAATGTGATAGTTTGCCAGTTTGATATGCACATAAATTAGTAACACAGATGAGTGTTGGTATGCTGGCTCAGTTCTTGAGTTAACATTATGCTAAAACTAAGAATTTTAATAAAGATTTAAATGCTTTTTATATGGAATTGCACTGGAGCTTTCTAATGCTACCTTACCATTCATACTGGCAAATAACATGAGATAAATCAATTTCATAACAATGTTGATACCTGCTTTAGAAAAATACTTTGCTATTTATGTTAGTATGAGAGGACGCAATATTGCAAACCAGATTAGCATTAGGACAGGTTAGGAAGTCAAGAGAAATTGCCACTTTCTTTGATTTGGAACCTTGTGTTGTGATTTTATTTCTTTGAGAAATGATCAGTTTCTAATGTACATCTCTATCACACATTCACAATCATATAGATAAACAAATTTATCCAGGAATTTATATGCATGTATCCTTTAAAAACAATATTAATTGTTGGAAGACATGTTTTCTTTTACTATTTTTATAGCTCTGCACCATTATGATCTTTTACTGATTTGAATAATTGAGGATCAAATTACTGTGCATTTACTTTATGTTTCAAATATCTTGACTATGTCATCTGCAAAATTGTTCAATTAAATATGTTACACAGAAATATTTTAAGCTTAATATCAGTATACTTATGTTACTTTTCAAGATTTGATATAGTAACTTCTAAGTGTTTATTGTAATTGTTTAAAAAACGAAATATTTTGAAATAGATATTAATTAGTAAGTTTAAATATGCTTAAATTGAAAGCCTTAAACATTCATGGCAAGAAACATGTTTTATTTAATGCCCAATCACTACACTAAGTATAAACTCAGTACCTTACTATGAATAAATAAGTAATTTTTATTTATGGGGCCTCCCTGGTGGCTCAGGGGTTAAAGACACAGTGCTATCAAGCTATTGCCAGCCAGCCACTGCGTCATGAGTTCAATCCCTGGCCAGGAAGATAACCTACATATGGTGCAGCAGACTTCTCCTTTCTCCTGTCTTGCCCGCTGCTCCCCTGAGAAGATTAGATCTGCCTATTCTGCTCCCCACTCTGGTGAATCCTCTCACTCCTTCACCTCTGGCCCACACCCCAGTTCTTGTATGCATAAATAAAAATAAATCTTTAAAAAAATTTATTTACTGCTGACTCTAGTGGGGTTTTTAAAAAAATATTTATTTATGCATGCATGCAAGAGCTGGGGTACAGGCCAGAGGTGTGGGGGTTGAGGGATTCACCAGAGACAGAGTGGGGAACAGAAGAGGCAGATTGGCCAAAGTACACTGCTGAGGGGAGCAGCGGGTGAGTCAGGAGAGGTTTGCTGCGTGCGCCATGTGGGTTGCTCCCTGGCAGGCCAGGGATCAAACTCTGTACTGCAGAGGCTGTGGACAGCTTCAGAGGTTGTGTCTTAACCCCTTGCGCTACCAGGGAGGCCCTGTAGTAGGGTTTTTTGTTTTTGCTTTGTGAAAAATTTTTACATTATATAGAAGAATTTATAATGTTAAGGACATACTTTACCCCACCCCAGAGTAAACCATATTTTCTCCCTAGAGAAAACTACATTTATTCTTTTAACTACTTTTACATTTTTTTCCTTCCTGTGATGTCTGCTATATATCTAAATAATATGCTTATATTATTATTATTATTATTATTATTAGACTGTTCTTGCATTCAGCATTTAGAATTTACTTCACTTTGCACCATCTGACAACATTCCAGTTCTTTATACTGTACATAATTGAGATATTATATCTTGATTCACCATTCTGTGATAAGGATATTACCATGCCTCTCCTTTATTTTCCATCCCTTTCACTGCATATTTTTTCCCATCTTTTATA